TTTTATCAAATGTTAGAACAGCTTTTGTAGTATTTTTCTAGTTTTTTTCTGATTTCTTTTCATTTTTAAGGACTTGAGCACTGGTTCTGGAAAAAAATGCTAATTCTGGTAAATCTGTGTTTTGACAGATAATATTCTTTTTTCTGTACTTCACAGTTCCTCTGCCTTCATGTCTGGCAATTTCAATTTCTCTTACTCAAGATACTGAGCTCTGTTGTTTGAAAAAATGCTGCCATGGTACTGTCAACTGGAATGTCTTAAGAAATCATTGCAGGATATTGGATTCCCCTTGTTGAAGTACAACTGTGTAGTGCCAATTTTTTTGCCAATGAACATGAAATTTGAAATGCACTAATACTTTTGACCAGCAGAAGGGACCTGTTACCAATATATTTAGAGATACATTCTGGGTAGCACCATAGTAGACAGTTAAAAGTTGTTTTTCTGTATCATTAAAAATTTTAGTCCTTCATTAGGTTTTTTTCACAATATATATTGTCTACTTGCAAGCAAGAGTCATCTGCTGACGTGCTTGGACTCTTGCTCTACACCAGAGTCTTAAGGCAGTTACTTTTAGCATGTGATTTTTAGTCTCTTCTTCTATGACCTTGTTTTTGCACACACTCCTTCTCCTTTTTGTGGCTGCTTGTGTATTCCTTGACTTAAACTTCTGTGTGTGTTTCTGTGTTAAAAAATCTAGCTGCCCATTCAGAATGAGAGGAGCTTTATTTACTGTGTGTGCCCATAATCTCATTGGTAGCTGTGGGCATCTGATAGTTTTAAAGAAAAAAAAGAGCCCATTTTCTTTCAAGGAAATGGGGACCTGTCAGCCAAGAAAAACTGATGCCTCTGCCAAGCCTTTATGTGTGAGCAAAAAAGTGTTCACTCAGCTGAGATGAATTTTCTCTTCTATGTGTATTTTCTGCAAATTATCAACCAAGTCTCTTTGTTTTCTGCCTTCAAAGTGGTGTAACATAGTGAGGTTTACTGACCAAAACTTGTGGGATTTGGTAGAAATTATATTAGCTGTTCTTTGTGTGAGGACATGACCTAAAACTTGAAATTTCTAGCTTTATTTCAGTTCCAATCTGTACCAGAAAGCAGCTGTCTTGTGTGACATCTCTGGTTCACCTACTTGTTCTGCTTTGCCTTTTGACCTCCATTCAGCAACTGTGAAGTTACGCTGTTGTCAGAGAAAAATGGACTTCAATGAAAAAGGCGGAGAGACCAATCACCAGTGCCCAGTGATGTCACAATTACAACACAAAACTAAAAATCTAATTTTTAGATTTGAAGGAACATCAAAAATGTTATCCAGAGAACAGTAAGTTCTCTGCAGTCCCACAGTGCACAAATGTTCATGTGTTGTGGAATACTGAACATGGGTTCAGGCACTTAAAGCCTGAACTTCAGTCTCTTCTGGTTGATTTTTACTTTTTCTAGTTTTCTTAAACCAGGCATAATTTGTTTTAATATGAAGATGGAAAATCATGATTTGCAAAAAGGTGGTGCCTTCTCAGGGAGCTGTGGTTTGCTGGTAACTCCAACAAAATGATGGAAACAAAATTATGGTGCAAAATGATGGCACATCCTGGCTGAGAAGCAAGTGAGGATGGGGACAGTTACGTGGGTGAATTCTGTTTGCAGTGAGCTCATTTACCTTTAACTCATAGTAAGAATGGCTGAAGGCATACATGAAGCTTCCAAGGAATCTGTTTCCATACAAAGTTAAGTGTTTAATTAAAAGCTTTTCCAGCCAATCATTTGTGTTCTGCTAAGGCAGTTGGTAGCTGAGTACCTGATCTTTGCCTGACTGTTTCAAGCAGCAGTATGGACTGAAAGTGCTGCCTTTCAGAGACACTGGTCTAGTTAGTCTGATATAAAAGTACAGCTGGTGTCAATGATATGTTGGAAAGTAACTTGTTTTATACTCATCAGTATACAGACAAGTTCATGGCAAGACCACAGTCTAAGATGATGTTGAAAATTGTAAACTGAATAGCTATTTCTGTATCAATACTGTGTTAAAACAGAAGGGGTAGAGCTTGCATCTCTGTACACTGTGCAACTTGATCTAACAATTATACTGGGATTGCAAGGAAAAAGTCTCTGAAAAACCCAAACAAGACAAAAGGCTGATCCCTCAGTCCAGAGACTTACCTTGCTGTTGTAACACCTTCCTTCCTTTGGTACTTTTTCCAGTATGTGTTTCTATCCTAGAAAAAGGACAGTGGGATAAATGATGCAAGTTTAGGCACAAAATATGCCATAATAATATTTGTGTAGATCTGTGTCAGGAATTGCTGGACATTCAGTCCAAATGTGAGACTGAGCTCTCTTGTGATTCTGAAGAACTGTGCTTCTGTTCCAGTAGACCAGAAATGGTCCTCATTTGAAGTGTGAGTAGTGATAAGGGATAAGTGTTTGGAGTGAATAAAAAGTCTTATTCTCATGCTACTGTTTAGAAACAAGTTCTGTGAACATTATGTAAATAGTGGCTAGCAATTGTGGGGAGGGAGTGGAATATATGGGGTTTTGATTTGGTTGGGGGTGTTTGATTTGGTAGGGTTTGGGTTTTTTTAAACATTGCTCAGTGAATAGCTCCAAATGTCAGTTCTGGTGTAATTTTAAGGAGTCGCTTCTGCATAACTGTGACCTTCCCATAGTCACTGGGGAATGGGGCACCAGAGTTGTACAAGTATGGAAATTTTTTACCTGATGGCATTCTCTTCAAATATGTTAACTTAAGCAATTGGAAGTGAGGCTTTTTTTGCTTAATTGAAATGGAAGGTGATTTGGAAATCACAATGCAATTAGCTGAAAGAACATAACCAGATAGTCCCTGGCACATGACTGAGGATAAATGGCCTGTCAGGGTGTCCCAGAGTTGCTCTGCAGTTGTGCATACATGCTCTGCACAAAAATTATGGTCTACTCAATTCAACTTCTTAACCACCTCCCATCTCCTGTCATGCTGAAATGCAATCAGCATTTCAAACCTTACAAGGGAGGATGATCCTGGTTTCATGGCAAGTACTCCAGACAAGCAGCCGCAGAGATGTGAGGTCTGGACACTTGGAAACTGTGTATTAACACTCCCAGAGGAGGAGGATGTATCTCATCCAAGTAAACAAAACACAGTTCCTTAGAAATATGTAAGGTTCTCAGTCTGTATAAAGATCTCTCAAATGGAATAATGAGGATGACTGAGATGCAATGACTTCAGAATAAATGGCAAGGGAGGTCTCTTGCCTTGTTGAGGGTGTTTCTTGATCCTCGTGGTTGTCAGTCTAACTTTCCTGATTAGCGGTAATTACGTCTTTAACGCTTCCTCTCCTTTAAGGTTAGTGTACTGTAAATCACTCTAATTGTATGTCCATTACTTGTATAATTATAGTCTGTATTTAGGCTTTGGATTTTGTGGAGTGTACATTCATAGCACAGGTATCCCTTTGTGTAACTGTTGTTATGCTTCAGGTTGAACCACTTTCCATTTTACAGTTAGTTGGGAAAAGTTTACCACTCCAACCACTTTGTATGTCTGAGACTTTTTACATTCAGATCATAAATTTGACTGGCTTTCAGTATGCAAACTGCTTGATTAAATACTTTTTGTTGTTGTTTTCTCAGGAGAAATTATTCATTACTGTATTTTTAATCCAAATAAACAAAAGCATGTGCACTCAGATACAAAATTCGTGTGGCTCTGTTCACAACACTAGACAGGAATTTTGGGTTATTTGTCAGAAAATTTTCCCTCTGTTTAGGGACATCTGTCATTTAGCACCTGCTTTCTACTTCTTGACGTCTGCACTGTCCAGGTGTCTTACTGACACTGAAGTCTGTAACTGGTTGTGGTTTCTTTCATGTATGTTACATTTTTATTCTGTACATTCTCCAGGGCTATTACTGTATGGGGTTTTTTTAGTGGAATTATTCTTCAGAGCAATTCAGTGTGTGTAACTTTAAAAAAAATAGCCAGCTGTTTTAAACCAAGTACGTCCTCCAGGTTTATTATAACAAAAATACTTTTGGAAGCAACTCCTCTTGGAGAGAGAGGAGCTATTCCAGGTTTTGTTATCATAAGGAGAAGTTTGTCAGGCACTTAGAAGGAGAGCAACTCATATTTAACTAAGCAATTGGACTGTAGATATGTTGCACATTGAGTTTATTAGATTGTACATACATATGTGAGATTGTGTGTGCTTGTATTCAGTAATACCACTTGAAATACTTGATGGTAGCTCTTACTGCTTCTGTAAGAAAATTTTAGCATTTTATGATACTCTAAGGAAAAAGAAGAGTCATCAACTGGAAGAAGTGGGAGTAAACTGCAGAACTATTTACGAAGTCAATCCAGTCCTACTCTTTCATAACATGCTATTACTGTCTTGGTGGTTCATATCTAACAATGAAAAAGTCATTATGCAGAAACATAAAATGTTTTGTGGTGTAAATTTAGGCAGATTTTCTGTGTTGTGTTCACATTTCATGTCTCAGTGCTGTAGTCAAGTGGCCATGGTAACTGGGCATGAATTTTTGCTGCTATCAAAATATGGTACTGCTTTCTTTACCACAGACCAGTTATAACAGTTTTTCCTGAATATTGAAAATTTAGGTTCTGATCCTAAAAGTATTTGCTGTGTATAATCTGTAATTTCACATACATCAGTCACCATCAGCTCATGGGATTACTTAAGTGAAAAACAAAGCACATGCTGGCATTTTTTTCAAGTGTGTATTTTTTCCATGCAGTATCTATTTCTGGCAAGGGCAACTATGCATCACTGCTGCAATTTTGTTAAATCAGCGTGTCATGTACAGTGTGTTTCACTGGGGTTCGTGGTCTAGACCATTATATTCCTGAAAGTTGTGCAAACATTTAGAAGGTTTGCTTGTATTCTTAAACAGTGCTATACCTGTGTTTCAGGAAGTAAAAATGGGGAGTAGAGTGAAATCCACTACAGTATAATTTATAACCAATTATTTTTACTTTTCAGATGTTCCTCCTGCAGATCAAGAAAAGCTCTTTATCCAGAAGTTACGACAATGTTGTGTACTTTTTGACTTTGTTTCTGATCCACTAAGTGACCTAAAGTGGAAGGAAGTAAAACGAGCAGCTTTAAGTGAAATGGTAGAATATATCACACACAATCGCAATGTGATTACAGAACCTATTTACCCTGAAGTAGTACATATGGTAAGTGATTTAACAATGAGAACTTATTTTATAATGCAAGGTTGTTTCTTCAGCTGTATCAATTTATCTCAATTAATTTTACTGAAATCTTAAAAAAAGATCGACTGTGTTTGCACATCTGCAAAATAATAACAGGGCTTTGACATCCCATCACCAGTGTTGATTCCTCTCTTTGTAAGATAGAAATTAGACACATGTATGAAGCAGAATTAGCTTATGGTTTAGGTTTGTAAAAATTAAATCTTATATTTAAAAAAAATATATGTTGCTTTTCTTCCCCACAAATCTGTTTTGAAATAGATGTTAATAAAAATGGGGAGGGAAGTTAAATATATCTAGTTGTTAAAAGAAAATGTGGATTGTAAAACTGAAAATTTGAAAAAAATTATAAGATTTGGAATAAGATCACCTGTGCAAGCTTGACACTTACTCTTATGTAATCCTATTCAGAGATTGATTTTATTCTGTGTTCAGAGATGAAAATGAGTCAGACTTTATTAAATACACAGTACAGCAGATGAGGAACCTGCTGGAACGAGCTGCGTGAACCATTCAGACCTGCGTTGTTTCTCCCTTCTCACTGTCCAAATCCTAGCCAGCCAGACCTAGTTTATTTTTCTATCGTGTGTAAGTTCACCCCAGAGGAGGCCACAAAACTACAGCAGAGTCTTTCAGCTCTTGTTGTGCTGATGAGACACCAGTTGCCTGCAGCAGCAGCTGGATTGAGGTGTGTAGCTGTTGTCTGCAGTACCCTGAGAACAGAAAGTATCTTTTGAAATTTCTGACTAATAAGCCTACAAGAAACTCTTTGTCCTGTGTAACATGATGGGTTTTCCTGAGACTTTATAGCTTAGGGTGAATTTTCAGGGGTTGAGAAAACAATGCTCCTGTAACATAAATATGAACTTCAACAAATTTAGAGGTCCTCCTGCAGATTGGAGACTTTGAAGCTTCTTCAAAGATTCCAAGGATTTATAGCATGAAAGATGTTGCTTATTCTGAAGATTGTTATCTAAATCAACCATAAGTGTTTGCTGATACAGAAGTTATTTTCATGAGAACTTCTGAGTATATGAGGCATATGCATAACTCTGGATGCCAGCACCCAAAGCATTGAAGATGGTTAATGAGGAGATGTGGGATCATGGCTTTTCCCATGTTTTGATAGCTTATTTATGTCTCTGGGTTTTTTCTAATTGATTGCTTGTTTTGGAATACTTGACACTGATGAAAGGAGAGATATGAAAGAGAATTAAGCTTGCTGAGACTTCATTTGGGTTAAATGGAGTTCATGATGAGTTCTTGAATACCGATGTCAGACATCAGTGTTTGCTCTGAGCAGGAAGTCTTAATGCAGGCACAAGTGATGAAATGCAGGCAGTTATCTTCCATCAAACAGTTATGGCCAGAGTATATTTGGCTGAGGACAATATATACTTTCTTTGCTTTCAGATGCAACTAATGGTAATAAGTCTGCACTTTGGTCGGTTTAAGAAATCTTGCAGCAGAATTTGGCTGCTCCCATAACTGCCAGGGTTTGGCTGGTAGCACAGCATCTGTTCTTTCAGTGAATTTAAAATGCTTTCTATGTGCAAGGCTCTAAAGGGTATGGGGTTCTGCTTGCATGGGACTTAAACAATACTGTGAGAGATGCTGTCAGTGAAGGCATCTGGACTGGTATTTTGAGGTTAAATTCAAGTATTGTTTTTGTTTGATCATCTAATGAAGCAACTGTATTCTTCCTGAAGTAATATTATCATTACCTTTCTTTCAGGCATGTATGTGTAGATCGAGGTGTATGTTTGCTAAGTTCTGGCCATACATTTGTGTTGACTGTGTGGATTTTAAGGAAAAATAAATCTAATTTCCTTGTGTGCTTGAAAACTTTCCCAAGAGACATTGAAAAGTTATGTGCTGCTGCTACTACTACTGAATTAAGAAGGAATATCGTTTTTAGTAAAATCATGAGTGATTAAGAAATACTCAGAATTGAGAATGGTTCTCATAAGTTTGGGAAGCTTGTGGAGTTGGTAGTTGGCGTGGAAATTGGAACTTTGCTGTACCATTCTGCCAGTCTTCACAATTTGGAGGTTACTTGTTTGTGTCTGTATGTATATGTACATTATATATATACGTGTGTGTCTAAGTTCTGTTTGGTTTTGTTAACATATTATGTAGGCCAGTCACTTAGGGCAATGAATTTCACCAGTTACCTGTTTAATAATATGTTTCCTTTCCCAAAGCTTCAAATGTTCTTTCGCTCTGACAAGAGATCTTGTCTTTATAATCTGATTCTCTTTTATTCTTTGTAATTCCTTGTGCTTATGTCATGTCCTTCCACCCACCAGTAAAGTCTTGTCTTTAAGTTATATATTCATTTACTGGCTTAGTTAATAATTTAATGTTAAGCCTAAGCCTCCTTTTCAAAAGTTACAGGAAATTAATTTCTAAGATGGATTTAGTGTTACTCTGCAGAGTGGATTCAAGAGTGTTTTTCCTTTCTCCCTCAAAGAGCCAGCTGACATGTCCTTCAAGTTCTTTTTATATTTCTAAGCAAAGATGTGATGAGAAAGGAAATGTTTTCATTAACTGCTTATATAACAAGTTCCATTTCTCAGGTATAAGTAGATACCTCCTCTCAAAACTAAGACATGTAGACAAATGTCTGATTTTTTTTAATGAAAAGCATCCCTTAAAAATCCTTTTTTGGAAAGGAATATATACTTTTTAAGTTGACTTTTGAAGAAAACAGGGCTTTATGAGAGTATTCTGTTGTGCACTAGTTTGTCAGAATATTAGGATATTAGATTTGTAGGACTTGGTGACAGTTCTACTTTCTGTGTAGAATACAGACTCAAATTAATGCTGGTTCCACCTCAGGGCAGGATGGGCAGTACCTGGATCGTTTTAAGAGGAACTGTGAAAGTGAACATTAATACTAATATTCACTTCCCTAGCTAGCCAGCCAGAGGGTATTGAGGAGCTGAGAGGAGGCTGGGGCAGCACTGGATGTGGAGATGTTCAGGGTTTTAGTGTTCTGAGAAAGAAGTAGATCAACAGAGTATAAATATGACTTATTTCTAAATATGAGCTTATTTCTAAGCTCCCATAATAATTTCCTTAGTAATGATGAAGATGAGATACCTGTGGATGATTTTTATGAAGCACATAGACTAATGCTGCATTTTTAATTTGATACTACATGTAGGAACAGATCTAATTTTATTCAGCAACTGAAGTGGTTTTCACTGCAGCTTTTCATGCATTATTAAAACTACCTGCTCAGTTATACCCATGGGAACTTGATTTATTTCTTTTTTGAGAGGGGTTGCAGGCGTGGTGTTTTGTGTCTCTTACTGTTATCTTTGGTCTAGAATAACAGATGTTGCTGTGAATAGAGGTGTGCTACTTGTTGCTCTGTTTAGCTGTTGGGTTGGCTTCAGTCACATGAGTACAGAAGGCACAGACTTTCAGTTCATTTGTTCTGAGCTGTTCACATCAGGCTGCTCAGCAGAAAGCAGGAGAAAATGTATAATGATATGTCTGATGCTTGCTTGCTTGAAAATGTTCTCTAATATTTTATGAAATGGGCCACCAGAAAAATAGGGTGCTTGACTACCATTACAGCAAATACCTCTAAAGTGGTAAAAATGCAGGTTGTTTGCTTTTCCTTTTTCTGTGTTCTCCCATCCTCCTAAGTTATGTCCTTTGAAGTCAAATGTTGTCAGTGCTAACAGCACAGAGAGAATTTTAGCTCACTAGCCCAGTTTTCATAAAGACTCAAGCTTCATAAATTTGGGGTGGCTTGTGGGATTTTGTGGATAGGAGGGGAACTGGGGAGGGGCATGTTTTTAAGTTACACTATGTTTATTTATACTTCTGTGGGAAATTGGCCTTAGAGGAAATTGGGCTTTGCAGCTTGTGTCTTGTCTGTTTGATCAAAAGACTGAGAAGTTAAAAAAAGATTAGCCATTTGACAGAAAGGTAAAGGAGTCACTGATACTAATTTATTGTAAATGTTGCTAAATTTCAGTGGCTTAGTAGACAAGAGAGTTTTGGGTTTGTGCCTTTACTGAGAGATGCTGCAGCTTGATTTGAGCAGTTTTGTATTCTGCTGGTCAAGGATATAAAATGCAAAACAGATCGAATCAGACTTCATTGGTTCCACTGTTCATGGAAAAAAATACTCTGTGGGTTTTAAGTATTTCTATTTGCTATTCTCGAAACTAAAATGTGCAAAACTTTGTTGCTAACACCTTACATGTCCCAGATTTTCTGCTTTGTAGTGAGAACCTGGGACTTCCTTATCTAAAAAATTCTGATTATTCTACCATTTACTTTCAACACATTCAAGTTTTATATATTGAGTCTAGACTTCCTGGGTTTGTTTTCCTGGAAGACCACTGATGATTGTAGATCTTCACTGTGTTTGTGGTTAGTTGCTTCACGTCCATGCTTTTTAAAAGGGGAACATGAAGATACGTCAGCTTTACTTTTAATTCTCTGAAATAGTAATTACTCTGATATACCAGTCTTTGTGTGTATCAAGCCTACATCTCAGCTGTTGGAATGAAGGAATATTATGAAGAAAAACAGAACATCAGGATGACTTTCCCTTCATGGGAGTATAATGTACACCTTGCAGATTTAGCTGATGCAGTTTGATACTGCCTCCCACTGTCTGCTCTGCCATCTGTCAGATGTGAGATTGACAGGATAACGCATGCTTATGATCCTTGGCCCTACCAGTTAATAGGTAGTTTACAGCTTTATTTTAAACTGGGAATGGAGGTGTTAATAAGTTAGAATGTGAAGAGGGAAATATGGCATTCTGTTGCTTTTCCCAGAATCCCACCAAAGATGGGTGGAATGCATTCTTCTGCAAAGAAGCATCTTTAAACTGAGACAGCTTAATCCTTCGGAGCTTACTAATAATCTTCAAATGATCAGCACGAAAGCTTTGATGCTATTTTTAAAAAAAAACAACAACCAACCAAGAAAAAGAAAAACACCACCAAAGCCTCAATAAAAACATATCACACATGTGGTTATTATCTGTGAGAGAATTTGAACATTCATAAAGACTGAAACTGTAGAATAAATAATAGGTTTTAAATGTGATGTTGGAATAGACCTTGCATCCTGAATAGCTACATCATAAGTAAACTCAAACTTGTGGGGTTTAGGTTTTTTTCCTTAAATTGAGCTGTACTTGTTGAAGGCATAAGAACCTTTCAACTGATGCAAAATAACATTTATTTACTTCATCCTTGAATGAGGCATTCAGTTCTGTGCAAGTGCCAATGGAGGGATCTTTCTAGCTGGTCCTGGAGATGCCCTTTACTGGCATGTTTGCTGAGCCAAGAACTGATTTTCTTGCAAAGGCTCTGTAAATGTTTCTGCTGCTCTTGGTGATGTAGCCTTCTACAAAGAATTTTCATTTTCTTGACAAATCAGCTTCTCTGCCCTGTTGTCTCTTAGTTTGCCAGACTTGAAAATCTTATATTTCCTCTCTAAATGCTTGCAAAAAGACACCTCCAGTCTGTCACAGCAATAGCATATCAATAATAATGTGTAGGTTAACTCTTCCCAGTACTTGTGATGTATATTTAGGATGGAGCCTATATATATACCTTATGCTGAAGCTCAGTGCAGCCAGCTGCAGCTGATTTAATAGATCAGTTCTGTGCAGGATATAGCTCTCTATTTGGTGTAGTCACCATTCTCACTGTGAGCAAGTGTTTACCAAAATTTATTTTAAAATATCTTAGTATTTTCATAAACACAAAATGATCTGTGTATTTGAAAACAGAATTTACTTCAGTGCTGTAAGAAGAAAGAGACTTGGAAGAGAATTTCTTTATTGGGCCTAATATGCTCAGTTGCTGCAAAGAGTCAGGACAGCCCACCCCTGTGGATTTATTTTGGCAGCCTTCTCCGTCTGGTGCAATGTGCTCAAGCTGCTGAGAGACTGAGGCATTAAAGAATCACTTTGAAGCAGAGGCTGTTTGAGACCATATACTAATTTGAATTGATCTTTATTTTTTTTCTATTCCCTACAAAACCAAGTTTAGACTACTTGGGCCTGCATGGGTGATGAGTAAGCAACAACACAGAACAAGGAAGTCTCTGTTGGGCACACTTGTGTTGCTAAATAGATGACGTTTTTCTACTCACTCAGCAATTTGGTTGTGTCGTACCAATGACTGTGCCTTTACTGAACACTCTGGATTGCAAGTGGGATTGAGGAATTCATTTCTTCTCGGTACTGCCAGCCTGTACAGATAAAGGCTTTCTCAGGTTTTCTTACTGCAGTGCGCAGAAACCACACAACTTGCACACTAACCCCCAACTTGCACACACAGGAAAGTTTTAATTAACCCCTCAGGGTGTGAGAACAACTGTTTGCAACACTAGCAAGTTGTTCCATTCTTATCCACAATGAAGCCAGCTGGTTTTGTTGGCTGTCCTTCCAGGTGAAAATAGACCTTTTAAAACCATTCCACCACTCTAGGTAAGGTTACTCTTGAGAATGTGCATTAAATTTATTCCTAAAAGTGATGTAAGATTTTTGGGGGGATTATTTGTGATTATATATTTTTATCTAAAACAAACAAACAAAAAAAACACAAACAAAAAAAAGTGCATTTAGTGATGGGGTGATTGGTCCTGTCAAAAACAGGACCTCTTAAAAAAGTTTTCATTCCATGTGACAGGGAATGGGTTTCTTTTTTTCTTTGTTATGGACTTGGAAACTCTCCTCATGTCTAAGCGGTTTGTGAAGGATACTGCTTTGGTTCATCCATAGTACAAATGTACATCTAGACAAGCACTGGGAAACACAAAAATATGTGTGTATATCAACAACTTGAAAAGCAATTCATCTTTATAGACTGCTCCACTTCCATGAGGATGCTAAATGTTTTTCAGGGTGTTGAGGATTCAGAAAAAAGTGAAAGGTGTAAGGATTAGGATGTGTATTTCTCCCCCTTCAGTGCTCCTGTGATGTCAGGTATATGGACATGGTTTAAGAGAAATACCACTGGGGGGGGGGGGAGGAATTTGTTTTTGTAGTATTTCAATGTGTGTACAGCCACTGTGTAAAATAAAACCAGTAATATTTTAGAGAGAAGAATAGTTGTCAGTAATCTTTGGTTTCCACCTCTGCTTCTGACTTCTACTTTTGCTAGTTGCTGCAAGGCCTTATAAGGTGTGTATGTGTCGAAATGTTTGTATAAACATTTTATATAAACCCATTTACTTGGGCTTTTAAACCATGTCTTGTGTAGAGACATCAGAGCAATATCCTCAAAACACATCCTGACAGTAACTTTGTGCTTTAAAGGCATGGAAAAGTGTTCTTTAAGTTAGAAGTGTTTAAAAGGAGAATGAATACTCCTCACTGTTTAGAATGCTGTGTTATATAGCTTGTATTTTTGCAAATGTTAATTAAAATAGTTCACGTAAAGAATTCTTAGTCAAAACCCCCTGTGAAGTATTTTTTTTAATCGTTCACTTGTTTCAAAGTTCTTAAAGACACATGTAATTTCAGTTTGCAGTTAATATGTTTCGAACATTACCACCATCTTCCAATCCAACGGGAGCAGAATTTGATCCAGAGGAAGATGAACCAACCTTAGAAGCTGCATGGCCTCATCTACAGGTATTTCTTGGAGACTAAGACATCATAGTCTAAGAGAACTCTGAGATTAAAGTCATTGTTTATTTATTCAAAATTCTTTAGGTCATGTGTTTATCTGAAATACTTTATTGTGCAATTTGCAAAATATGTTTATTGAATTTAAACTGATAATCTTTTTTAAAAAATACACTCATATGATAGGTTAAAGGCTCATTGTTTCTTGTGGTAGAGATGTAAGTGCTGAGATTTTAAATGAGCTTCCATTTGTCACCATGACTGCTTTGATCTGGCTCCAGCACAGCTTGAGCTTTCAGAGGTACCGTGACAAACAGAGAAGAACAGAGAATTTTTAAAACATGTACTTCTGGGCATGATAAATATTAGATTACTGTATGTCATTTGAGTAAAATCTAGTGATGGAGATCAGGCAGTTTAAGGGCCTCAAGTTCTTGTAATTTGTCAGGAGAGCAAGAGCAAAGATTTTACTGTGTGATGCATAGATAAACATAATTAAAAACATTGTGCAGTTCTGAGCAACTAGTTAGTAATTTTAGCAATGTGATGCTTATAAAATGGTTTCTTTTTTAAAAGACTAATACTGTCTTTTTGTTGTTTATTTTTTCCAGCTTGTTTATGAATTTTTCTTAAGGTTTTTAGAATCTCCAGATTTTCAACCTAATATAGCTAAGAAATATATTGATCAGAAGTTTGTATTACAGGTGAGGTAAAAAAAAGAATTTTTAACTTCAAGCTCTAAATTATTTTTACAATGCATTAGATTCAGTTAAAGTGCATCTCTTTTTCCCTCTTTGCAGCTTTTAGAGCTCTTCGACAGTGAAGATCCTCGTGAAAGAGATTTTCTTAAAACAACTCTTCACAGAATATATGGGAAATTTCTAGGCCTAAGAGCTTACATCCGGAAACAAATTAATAATATATTTTATAGGTATGTCAGCATCTCTGTATTACAGTGCATGGGATCAGGTAGGCAGTTAAAACACTCTAAGACACTGCTAGCAATTTTAAAACTTCTTAGTAAGTTTATACACAGTATTGCTACATCTAACAATAATTAATACCAGTCTGGGAGGTTTAAATTCGGGTAGTCTTTCACATGGTATTAATTTGGCAGCTGAAATTTGAGTTAGTTTATTATTTATTTACTGGGTGGCTTGGTATCTTTGTGTGAGGCTTTTTTTTTTTCATATTGGCTTGTAGCATTTGTATTACAGTAGTGCCTTAATAAGGTGTAGTTCTTCATAATGCAGAAATTGAGCTGAAATCAAATTACTAAGAGATGTGTAATTTGCTTGAAGGAACATATTTATTGCCTTTTCTTTCCTCGGAATTGAGATATACTGTTTCATTGTCATGAAATATTGGTTTAATTGCTGTAGAATGAGCTGTAGAATTATCCCAGAGACAAAAAAAATATGAAGATAAAAAATTAATCCACTGTATTATCAAAGATCTTTAGAAGTGCATTCTTACTGCTGTTATGTCCAGGGTGAATGCAAGATTATGGTACCTGTTTTAATTTTTTTCATTTTGGTTCATTTGGTTTTCACTTGCTTCTCTTTGCTGCAAATAACTATGCTGTATATCAGTCTTACACTCCTTCCATCATGCTTCCCTTATTCTCTACAACTTCATCCCAAAATGAATTTATGGTGGTACCCCTTTAAGAAAATAGCAAAATGCTGCCTCTTCCTTGGTGCCATCTCCCGAATGGCACCCAGCAGTGCCAGCTGTAGAGGGAGCTGATCTCCCCTGCTTGTGTAGAATTTTTCAAAATATTTCCTTTTCTTATACTTTTACCTGCAAGTCGTCAGTTTATTACTATACTTACCTAAGATATGTGTGGTCTTCATTTGTCTTTTAGTTCCTGACTGGAATTGCGTGAATTCTGTCCCAATAGTGCTTTAATCATTTTTTTTTCCGAAAGTAAAATACATTTTTTTTTAAATTATTAAACCTTTATGTTCCTATTTATTCAGTTCAAAGCTTTATGTATCATTGTCTTTCGTTTTGCTTGGAATTGTTGTCCTGAATTGTATGGGAAGGATCTTTAAAGATTAAAAATAGTCACTTTAGAAATTCTGGATTAAAAGTAGCTGTTCATATGTCAGCCTATGACAAAATTTGTAAATGAAAAATTACTTTCAAATTAGTGGAATTATTTTCTCCCAAGTGTAAATTTTTATAACTCTTTGCAAACTACCTGAAGACATGCATAGAACTTTCTCACCAAATTTACACTCAGGTGATTGGGAAGAAGAGTGGGAAGGTGATTGCCTAGTGAATAGTGCTCTGTCAAAATTCAGGAAAATTTGACTTCTTCTGTTTATTACAGAGCCTTTTGTATCCACAGAGATCTGTAATGCCAAAGAGCTTTTCAGATCCAGAAGTAGTAACTGAACACCTCACGCTGTGCATGCATTGGCTGTAGAAGGTTGAGTCTTGGCATTTAATTGTGCCAGATGCTCTTGTGTTATTTTAATATTTAAAACGTCATTTGTTGTGTTTAGTTTTGCATTATCAAAATGGCATAAAATACAAGTTTTGGGAAAAACTCAAGTATGTGCTGCTTTGTTAAATGTGGGGGAAAAGAGCAAGCAAGTGTGAAGGTTGAAAGCAGCTTTGTGTGCTCGTGATTTCTGTTTCCAAAAAGTTTCTTTTCTGCTCTGTGTGTGTATCTTTTTTCTTTTTGTTGAGTGATTAGAACATGGGAGGTCAAGGCTACTTGTAATGTTAGATGGGGATCTTGGTGTTTTTGTATCTCACTTCAGCAGTAACCCAGTAAACCTTTTCATTTATTTAGGTTTATTTATGAAACAGAACATCACAATGGCATAGCAGAATTACTGGAAATACTGGGAAGGTAAGTTGTGGATTTTGTTTAATTAAACTCATTTGGTTTTAAGACCAGACTTCAAAAATCAAGTTGAGGATTAGATATTGATTTGAGAAAAGGTTTAAAATGGCTTTGTTTCATGTGTAAAAGCTGTAACAAAGAGAGTCATTTTTGAGTAAGATAGAAACACAGAAAAAACTTGAACCTTGTGGCAATATTTTGGGACGTGACAATTTTTTAAGTGTTGTTTTTTAGATCTTATTTTCTGCTTAGGTTCCTTGTAATTACTATTAGTTGTAAAGCGACTACAGATAAAAATGTAGTGAGTTGAAATTTATTAAAAATTCTTCAACATCACTGAATACGCAGTGGGTAAAAAAAGGAAGCAAAGGTTATGAAACTTAAGGAACCTCTTGTTGTTAACCTAAATATTTTTCAACTTAAAGGTGATAGCCTCACTGAAACTAATGGGTTTTCTGTTAACTGGTTTCTGTAATCCATGTGCAGGCTTTTGGCATTTTTTTATACATTAATACCCTTTAAAAGCTTAGTTAGATTTACTTTATGGTATTTCCATATCTTTGCACATAAAGGTAACAGGTTGTCAAGAGCAGGGTGCTTGGTGTTGTGTCTGGTCAGGCTTTGTGTATCTCCAGGGACAGAGACCCCACAGCTTTTCTAGGCAATGGTTTCCCTTGTTTGACCCCACTCATAATAAAAAGGTTTTTTTCTTTTGTTTGAATGAAATATTCTGTGTTTCAATTTGTACCCTTTGCCTCTTTTGCTGAGTACCCCTGAGAAGAGTCTGACTCTTTACACCATCTCTTCATGTATTTGTACACATGGGTGAGATCCTCCTCTGCCTTCTCTTGGGGCTAAACAGCTTTTTCAGCCTTTCTGTGCGTGTCAGATGCTCCAGTCCCTTCACTGCCCTTTACTGGACTCCCTCCAGTATGTCCATTTCTACTCTCCTGGGTAGCCCAGAGCTGGACCCAGCACTGCAGATGTCTCACCAGGGCTGAGCAGAGATAAAGGATCACCTCCCTCAACTTACTGGCAATGCTGTTCCTAATGCAGCCTGGAATGCTGTTGAAATTGGAAAACTGTTTTAAAATTTTCTAGGTCTCTATGTCTCCCCAGAATAGTTCTTTAATTTTAAATGAAATGTTGAATGATTAAAGGGCTTACATATCCATCATTACTTATAATCAAGTCATACTCATCAAGACATACTGAAGACTCTGGAAAGCTACTCAAATATGGAGCTAAATCTTCAAAACTCTTACTTTTAAGTCACCAGCTTTTTCGTTCTTCGTTTTATTAGGCTAGCTTTAAGTGTTATGATTTTGAAAGTTAAGTTATTGGTTTGGGGTTTTTTCCCTCATTCTTCCAAATCTAAATTTCTAGTAACTAAATAAGGCTTCTGAGCCGCAACTGTTGTGTGTTGGTTATTCTTCCAATCCATAAAGGAGTTTCACACAACGTGTTGTTGACATAGAGCTTCTTAGGAGTAACAGTTTTTAGTTGGATTTCTGGGGTTTGACTTGGCAGAAGCAGAGAGGAATTGAATTTTATGCTGAAGTACATTCTCTTCCTTTACTGAGTGCTGTATAATACTGAACAAATTAATGCTTCCAGTGGGAACTACTAATGTGGTTATGTTTTTTCTGATAATCATCTTTCAAGATGAATGCAGAATTCTTTCATACTCGAGGCCAAATTTACCCTAAATTCTGCTCCTCTCTGTAGTTAACTATCCTTAAAATATCTTGGAGAAACTTTTTTTTTAATTAATTTTTATTTCTCAACTATGTGAAAGTTGTACCAAGAACACCATAGAAATGTTGGCGTTAAAATGGGTTTTTGATATTTTGCACTGAGAGACTTCAGAAGAAGTAACCTTATGTCGTCTAAATAGCTGTGCAGTCATTACTAGTGAAAGTTACTTTAAGCAAGCACAGCAAGGGTGAGCAAGTGTTGTTTAGTAAGCTTTAATTCTGGGGTACCGTCTGATTTCTGAGATTGAAATATACATAACTTTGAATTTCTTAATATGTTGTTTTTAAGAAAAGGTTGGCTGGTTTCTTCAGCCTAAGTGCATTCTCTCCTTATTAGTGAAGAGAAAAGCCTTGGAATGAGTAAAATAGGATTTAAAATAGTAAATGAGCAATAGTATTCTAGATGTTTAACTGATGTTAATGTTAGCAAAGGGAGTGGACACAAAACACTGTTCTAGTACTGTGGTTTTAGGTGAAGGTGCCATTGACCCGGTTTTGAGCAATACCATGAAGAAGATGGGAGGAACTTGTATTCAAAGCTTTGAGAATAGTGAGTAGTTCACAGTGAGGGGTGGAGTCTGAAGTGTAGGTACAGCTGCTTGGAAGACTTGGAGAGCTGTGAAAGACTTGGTTAAGGGATGGATAGAGATTGCTTTGACTATTCTATTCATTTGTAAACTTTGGAAAACAAGTGCTAAACCCAAGAATTTTGGTATATCCTGCACAGTAGTGCAGACTTAGTGTAATTACTGATCTTTATTTTTAAACTTCTTTCCCTGGCAGCATAATTAATGGATTTGCCTTACCATTAAAAGAAGAGCACAAAATTTTCCTATTGAAGGTTTTGTTACCATTGCACAAAGTGAAATCACTCAGTGTCTACCATCCACAGGTAAGTTTTGTTTGGTGCTTTCCGTGCTAGTGTTTTGTTCAACTTGTCTGGAGAATCTGGGGGACTCGAGTCACTCTGGTGTGGGTTCTGTTCTGAGCTCCAGCACTTCCCTGTTAACTGGTCTTGGAAATTTATTTAACCTATAAAAGAATACTTGTGTGTATATAATAAATACATTTTTAAAAGCACTGTAGTGTTTATAGATGAAGCACATGTAGTAGTTGGTTAATGTGAGAGTTCTTGATATTGTCTGTAATGTTTACACATGAAAAATTGCAGAAAAGTACAGTTTTAATGAATGTCATCTATAAATGTTCTGTTCTAAATGACATGAAGCAATTTAGCTGAATTCAATTTGTTACAACTGTTGATGTTTTGAAAGGAATTGGGAATTTACTAGGACATCATTATTTAATTAAATAGATCTTTTTAGAAGTACACAGAAAAAAGGGGGCATCTGAGTAGTATTGTGCTTTTAAAACAGCTGTATCTTTTCTATGATGAGTTTAGTTCCATTCAGTATTTCTAGTGGAGTGGGAAATCCATACAGTGTGAGAGAAAATGCAGTATTATTGTGGTATGCTGAAATTTTCACCCTGATTGTTACACAATTTCTGTTTTTTTAATTTGAAAGTTCAGTATTTTCTATGTAGTTTGAGTACTCCCAAGTTTTAAATACCCTTTCTTCAAATGGGTATGCAATTTTTATAATTACAATTCTCTAGCAATTAGAGATGCTTATAAGCATTTGCTTTGGATCTTGCCTGCTGGGCAAGTTCCTGTTGAAACAGTAGGCTAGAGAGGCTCCCATTTTAAAAGATATTTTTAATTTTTTTCTCTTTTTTTCTAATGCCATGGACATACCCTGTTGAGGTGTGTACAGTGAGACCTTTCTTACAATCTCAACTAGTGCAGATATCTGTGATTGCCAGCTTTTCTGCTGACCTGATGTTCAAGGCACTGTTATCTATCTTAGATGATGAAATACAAAATACTAAATCAACATGGGACACCAAAATGTTAGCAGGTGGAAGGCACTCTAGAGGACAAGATTGTGGTTTTTAAATCCTGTGTTTGAAAAGATGGAGTGTGATGAAATGCCGAGTGCTAGGTCTAAAAAGAAAACATGAAGTCATGTGTGTCTATATTATAACACAGAAAAAGAGGAGGGCAGAATTGGGAAGGTTGGGGAAGATAGAAAAAGTATATTTCGCCTTCTGTTTAAGTTGTCTGCCAAATAAATTTTTTTTTTAAATTACAGAAGAAACTCGTGTTTTTATTTGAAGCATTCAGAAGTATTCTTGACTTATGCTAATGATTTCAAAATGTGTATTAATAAACTCTTTTTCTTTTACTGTAGCTGGCATACTGTGTAGTTCAATTTTTAGAAAAGGACAGCACACTTACAGAACCAGTAAGTTCATCTTGCTATTTTAATACATTTTGAACTATTAATATCCCTTCCATTTCTAGACTGTTTAAGGAGGTTTGGGGAACAAAATATTGATATGTAATTTTTTATATTAGAGTCAAATATTTAATCATTTTGATCTGTCAAATTCAGTTTTCCCAACAGAATGTCCGAAATGAATCAAAACATTAATAGGATATCTCCTACAAACAGACCAGAGCTCTGCTTATTTTGTTCTGGCTGACCAGATATGAGATGATGGATCCAGAAGCAGTTTAGTCAGAAATTAGCTTGCCTGAACTGTGCTCTGCTGAGAGACAGATGTTACAATGGAGCACAGGTTTCTGGCACACAGAGCTACCTGCTGATGCAAGGCTTTTGAGTCAGATCGTGTTCGTGGCTACAGCTTTGGACTGTAGACAAAACTGAACTTTGAGCTGGCTGCAAGTAATTGTGTGGGTGAATAATTTTAACTGCCCTTGATAGTATATAGTGGTTTGCCTCCTTACACCCAATATCAAGTAGGTAAAAGGTAATCTGTTTAATCAGTAAATCAGTAAAAAAATGACTACTGACAAAAGTGCACGTTACTAGATTATGACCATTTCCGTTGTAAAATGGAAACTGAATTTCTTGAAATAAATGAGGTATGCAGCTGAGCAAGAGTTCTCTTCTAGTTGAAGCTTTTAATATTTATTAAGATATCAAATCCCAGACATTCTGTCATTTGTACTATATGAGATCTTGAATTCTTAGCTTTCTTCCAGACATCAGCTGGGATGTTACGTATTTCCTAGCAGAAATCTGAACTCATAGGCATCCAACTCTGTTTCCTTTTTTTGATCTCAAATTAGTACATGATTACAACGTTCTTTAAAAACTTAACACATGTATCACTGAAGTACGAAAGTGGAGTACTAAGTTCCCCTTCAAAGATTCTGGTCATTTCAAATTTAAATGCTTTGCTTCCCCTTGCCCAAGGCTTCATTGAGGACATAGTGTCTGCTTTTGTGATGAAATAATATATACGTGAAAGGTGCACTGATTTCTCAGAGTTGTTTTGTCAATGATGATATTAAATATTGCTTGTAGGTCGTATATTTAAAAATCATAGGATATTATATATTTTGAGTGTTCATGGTAAGCTAGGGAAGCAAGCTGGGTAAATTTATTAATCATGAAGGAAGTTTAGACTTTAATTATACTGAAATAGTCAAATAAAAGTCAGTGTTTAAGAGCAACATGCCTAGAGTATTTGCTCACCCGTCAACTTAGGTATTTTTATTAAATATTTTCTTATAATGATAGAAGTTAATTTTGTGAGCTTTGGAGTGCACCTCTAAGAAGGTACAGATAGAGATTTAAAGCTGCTACCACTTAAATGGCAGATAATTTTCCCCATAGTATAGTAGCAAATGTTTTGATGTTATGTGGGACAAGAAATTCTGAGTGTTCTGCTTAAAATATCAGAGTTATTAATGAGATCCAATTCAATGTGAGGTAAAGTCAAATTATCATGAAATTATGTTCTCTTTGTCTGTACAGGTTGTAATGGCACTGCTGAAATACTGGCCAAAGACTCACAGTCCAAAAGAAGTCATGTTTTTAAATGAACTAGAAGAAATTTTAGATGTTATTGAACCATCTGAATTTGTAAAAGTTATGGAGCCTCTCTTCAGACAGCTAGCCAAATGTGTGTCCAGTCCACACTTTCAGGTCTGTACTTACTGAATGGACAGTAATATGAGGATTTTTGTAAAGCAGAGTTGGAATGTGGTGTTGTTCACCAAAATGAGTTTTATTTGTTGCAAAGAAGTCTTCAATTCTGTGTCAAGTTTTAGGGATCCAGATGTTAGGTTTACCTTTCAAGAGTGCAGTATGTGCATTTGTGTTGGGTGATTTACTTCAGTGTTGCGCTTAATATAAAAAACCTTAAAATCTCAATGTTTTCAAAAGTATCTGAACCCTTTCAGTACATAATGTTTGCATTTCATAGCTTGTAGTGGAGTTCTACAAATACTCGTTCTTTTGGAAAGTACTTCTTTGCTTGAATTTCAGAATTCACGGGTTATAGTTTCAATTGCTTCCCTATCAAGGAAAAAGCAATTTCTCCATCTCTTTCCATCAGCTCCATGACTCCCATTTGCACTAAAAAAATCCAAGTCTGAGTTGCAACTTTCCTTATATTTGCCAAATGTTTTAGTTATTTCTCTACAAGAGATTAAAGAAGTGTTTCTTTTTTCGTGTCATCTTAGGTGGCAGAGCGAGCATTATACTACTGGAATAATGAATATATTATGAGTTTAATTAGTGATAATGCAGCAAAGATTTTACCCATCATGTTTCCATCCCTGTACCGGAATTCAAAGACGCATTGGAATAAGTAAGAAACACTTGTACAAATTTCTGCTACTTCACTTATGTTTAGTCCTAGGCTTAAGAGTTCAGGTCTGTGGGTTGCCAGTTTAACAATGTGTTGAGCTGTTTGTTCTATGACATTGAAGTTGCTGGATAAAGAGACTACTGTTGTCAATCTTTAGAAAATATTAAGAATTGAGGAAGAAGTTTTTCCTTTTTTCGTTGAACAAGAAACAGTGTTTTAGTGCATCTAATTCATGATGTTTTTCTATAAATGTGAAACATATTTGGCATTCATCTGTAGCTCAGATACTTCTAAAGGCTAACTTTGATTTCTGATTTGCATTTTTCTGCATTCTGGTGAAATATCTTGTAGATCAGATCATTTTTTCCTTTCCTTTTCTTTTCTGTTTATTGTTGGAATTTTTTTCCTTCTTTCTCCATTGACTAGTTTCGCTTTTTTTCCCCACAATAACGTAGTACTTGCACATGAAAACAGTCCTGGTCAGCTCCCTTCTGCAGCTGTTCCATTGTGAAGTGCCTCTTTGTTTGAGCTATTGTGCAACTGCTGGGATGGTGACAGTATCCCAGGCTGACTCTGGCCGTGATTTGAGGACTGCTGGTGGGCTGGCCAAGAATGAGTAATCAATCTGCCACTAAACACTGGGAAAGAAATGGAAGCTAAAGCGATGTTAAAGTGATTGCTTACTGTTGCTGGGTGTAAGCACTGACAAATAAAGTACTCATTAATAAAATTCCAATTCAGTGATGCAATTATGCATAGTAGATGTGAGTTGCTATTGGTTGTTTCTTCTGGCCTTCAAGGTCATGCATTCATTTAGTCTGAGCAGAAGTCATGCCACCCAGTACAGCTGCGCTCTTTCTTCTTGCATGATACAAAGTAATCGTTTAACTGATTACTTTTGAGCAGCAATGCACTACAGACCAGAACTGTAAATTGCTCTGTAAAAATGCTGCATAAGGCAGATTGGTTTTGTGCACTTTTTTTTGTGTTTTCCACTTTACTTTTCTAACATTTTCTAAAGAGTCCTGATAATTGTGTTGAAGTGGATGCTGTTGCTGTGTGGCAGTTTTCAAAATGAAAAAAATGGTGTCTTTTCTACACTCCTTTTAATCACTAACTCTTTTTTCTTGAATTTGTTGGTTGCCAGTAAATCAAGACCTTTAATGTCATCTTGCATTGTCTATAATAAATCTATCTTGATTAGCTACTAAATTTCAAAACTAGTCCTGTATTGATGCACTTAGTATTAAAAGTTAAGTTCAAACATCAAAGTGTAAGTGATGAGTAGTACTGTAGTGTAAGAAAGCTGCATTCGAAGTTGATAATTTTAGTACTTGTGTTAGGCCTTTTGTGGGTTAACTGAAACTTCCACTAATTAACTTTGTTTCCACTTTTTCTGAAATGATGTAATTTTCCAGTTATGTAGGGTATTGGCTACTGTTGACCAGAAAAAGTAGATTTCAAAGTTTAAAGTACTCTGAGTTTCAACCAGAAGTTTTACTTATAGGACAATACATGGCTTGATATACAATGCTCTGAAACTCTTCATGGAGATGAACCAAAAACTGTTCGATGACTGCACACAGCAATTTAAAGCAGAAAAACTGAAGTAAGTTTTCATGTCAGTGTGTCTGTCTGTTCTTGAGTAATTTGTTTAGAGTGCTTTAGCTCTGAAAAACAACGGTGTCATTACTGGGAAGTTGCCCAAATAATTCCAGTACAGCAGTCTCAAAGTTGGTTTGATGAAACTTCTCATTGTATGTGAACTGTAAATCTTTTTAACAATAGGGTACCTCATGTGGGCTTAGACCTAATACTGCTGGCGTCACCATCTTCCTAAAAATGAAATGTTTGAGAGGGACACTGGTAATCGTGGAGCCCAGTGTAGAAAATCTGTTAAACAGTTCAGTTCTTATCCTGTGTTTATTTTAGCATGCTTTATTTACCTGGTGTTATTTTCTTTCATGTTGTCACTCGGTCCCAAAATACTTTTCCAGTATTTTTCAGCATTGTATTGTGTGTGAGCATATCTTCATGTTCTTATAATTATTACCTGGAATCAAGTTGTTACTGTGTTGTAGTACAGGGTTCAGACTTTATCTGGCAGAAGAATCCTGCTCAAGTGAGACTGAGAAGTCAAAAGTGTTAGTGGTTTGGGTCTCATTTCAGGAACTGGGAGCATAAGTTAGAAAGTGGGTCCTGAAAATATCTGGATTTAAATTTTATTTTTAATTTAAAAGTAAACAGGGACTCTTTCAAGTAGTGGTTCAAATTGTACACCTATTTTAAACTGATATACTGGAAGTGGTACAGATTCTTAATGTAGATTGATTTGTTCAAGTTTTGAAGTTCCTTATTACATTTCAAGTAGAAATGAGCTTGTAGCGTAGCAAATTTTTAAAGTGTGTGTGTTTATAGATGACAAAACTGTGAACATTGACTCTTTTAAAAAGTCTGTAATTACCTTCTCCCACATAGCAAGTAAGTGGAATCCCTTTTAAATGAGAAATCACTCTTTTCCTCTTTGTTTTTTAGGAGTTTTTTGGGTGGTATTTTGAGTATGAACTAAAGCAAGGAGAGTACTGAGTGACATGGTAGCAAAACAAAACAAATGAAAAAAAAAAAATCTCCTACCACACAAGAACTTAAAAAGGGATGGTTAAAGAGTTCTTCCCTCCCAGCTTGAATTAACTTGAGAGCTGGAGACAAATTGTGTATATGCTTGGATGCAGCTGCTCTTCCGTTTTTTTTTCTCTTAACATTTGGATCATCTGCTCTATGAATTGAAGCCTGAGAGCTCTATGATTCGAAGCCCTCTAAGTTCAAAGTTTTTTTAAATTCTACTAGCTTTCAAAGGCAGGTGATCATTCTGGTCTCTGCAATAAGGTATTTATTTGTAAGAAAGGCAGTCAAAAAAACCCTAGATTTTAAAATTTCAAATTACGTTAGGCACAAGGAAACAAACCTTTCCTACTTTGATTTAAAAAAAAAGGCATTCTGGCTCATCCCTCTTGGCTTGCAACTCCCTAGAATGAGCATGGTTTTTGGGTACTTCACTGTTAGAGTTCAATTCAAAATGTCCCTGGGCCTTTTCCTTTAAACTATCATCTGAAGCCTCCCTCTTTTTGTGGAAAGTTATTGACTTCTTATGTTTCAATATAGAATTCAAGTATTATAAAGTTAAAACACAAAGATGCTTTTGACATAGATCAAGACTTCTTTCTGTTTTAATTTTAACTCTTTTAGTGATACACACTTATTAAAAATAAACTACTATCAGCCAGTTTGTTGCTTTCTGGAGAAACTATGAGATTTTTTTCCTTTTTAATGTTGATTTAATTGATATGATGCAAATTACATCAATGTGTGTCAACAGTGATGTTTTGGGCAGTAGACTGAAATGGGCATAGCTGAATAATATTCTGTTGAATTCTTTTTCTCCTATGTGATTTTTTTTTTTTCCAGAGAGAAGCTAAAATTGAAGGAACGGGAAGAAGCATGGGTTAAAATAGAAAATCTAGCCAAATCAAATCCCCAGGTATTTAGAAAAGATTAACATGTTCATGTTTAAATACTTTAGTTTTGTTAAATATTAGTGGGGGAAACAGGTCTGACTGATCATGGAAATAAAGCAATTTCACTAATTGTATTATGAAAGATATACAATAAAAGTACTTTTAAAATTTGTAACCTTTCTCTTGTGCAAGTAATTATTTAAAAAAAAAAAGTTTTCTTAAAAGTATGATACGAAGTACTTTTTCCCTTTCTTATAATAGGACATATACTGTATTGCGGTTTGAAAAGTTATTGTGCAAAATTATGGAAAAATATAGAGATGCCATAATTGGTCTCTCTTGAAAAGCTGTTTTGCAAACCATATATTACAAAAGTGATCTTTCTGCAAACTGTGAGTTATGACTGGTCAGTTTTCCTTTGTGTCAAATGGATTAAAGCAATATTGTACGTCCTTGTGTGCTGCATTTGTTCTCATACCTGCACTGGGCCGGTCTGCTGGGGAACCTGCACCTCAGGTTCTTCCTAAAGGAAAACATCCTGTCAGGCATTACTTGATGTGAATCAAATTCTGATAAACAAAGGTCCTTTAGACTATTCATTATGTTTTGAGATTATGGGAGAAGGGAATGTTTGGCCTGGGTTCCCCACCCCCTTAATTTGCTTGGAGAAGGCTGCCAGTTTTCCTTTATCTCAATCATAGGGTTTGCTGCTGTGAATAAAAAAACTCCAAACATTTAAATTACTTTACAGCCAGAATTTTACTATACTGCAGCAAGAACCTTAGTGTACTGTGTATTTCCAACAGCATCTAGCTGAGTTTAAAGTGGTGAAAGAGGGAGAAACTGTACTCTGTAAACAGAAGTGGGACATTGTCTGGTCTCAGTGCTATTTTAAAACAGAAAACATGAGGTAATCTTTTTGTCTAAGGAGGAGGAAATTCATGCATGATTTTTTCTTCTTGTGGCATTTCTCAGGGAACAGTTACTAAACTGCTTAAATAAAATCTGTTAAAATTTTTTAAAAAGTTGACAACAGGTCAATTAATCAAAAAGGGCTATTCATATAAAAGCAATAATTGACTTTTACAAAGCATTTATCTAATGAGATAAGCCATACAAAAACCTTGCTTGAAGAGTACTTGATATACATGGTCATTTACTATCACAAACAATGAACTGTTGCATATTTGGCTAAATAAGGGGGATTGAGTTGTAATAAAAAAAAAATTCTACGTGCATATTTACTTTTCTTAGCAAGTAACTTTATGTAAATGTGTATTTTCTGAAACGGCTTAACACAACCATAATACAGTATGTTCTGCATAGTATACTTGATGAGAGCTAATAATTAGAAGCAATTAATTAATTTTAATACTGAGTGCTCCACCGAATTGACGTAAGGATATAAACGCTTTTAGCACTCTAGATAATGGATTTTAAGGGTTTCTTTTCTTCCTGGAATTTTTTTTAACTTTTTAGTTTGTCTAATGATAATTCTTGTTCTTCAGAGCTACTCCTGACTCTGCATGACACAAGAATACATTTTAAGATTTTAGAATAACTATAATCATTAAATCCATGCATTAAATTATTAGTATACACAGATACTAAAATGTTTATGAGGAAAAATTGATGAAAAGGTCTGCATGCATAAATGAGTTTTGAATTCAAGATCATATACACCTCGTCGGAATTAAAATATAAAATATTGAGATTGCTGGACTGTAGGAGTTTTTACAAGATTTCTTTTTAATTCTCAAAATACTTTTATGACTTTTACCTTTCTGAAAACAGAAAAGTTTAATATTTTGTTTTGAAATTATATAAATGTATATTAACTATATTTGATTTTCTGACAGTGTATTATCTCTTCCAACACAAAATTGCACCCTAAAGTAAAATTACTGTGTTTGGGTTGCTACACTGTTCACAAATCCCTAGACAGTGTATAAATAAGGTTTCACATAACTAATTGCCAAAGTAGACGTTACTGGCAAAATCTGAGTATTTTAAAATTCAATCTCAGATAATCAAAACGTGGGGGTTTTATGCTCACTGTGTTTTTCAGCAGGCTGTTTCTGCCAAATGAAAGTATTGGAGTTCCATTCTAAAATGTATTACTTGTGCCTGGAAGCGTAAGATATCGAAGCTGATCTCAAATAACTCATCATATCATTCAAATGCTCAAATGCATTCTGAGTATTTTAGGTATTACTACTAAGAATGATTATTTTAACACTTTGCATTTTATTAGTACCCGACATATAGTGACACGAGTTTGCTGAACAGTCCTGTTGCAATGGAAACAGATGGGCCTTTAATTGAAGATTTGCAGACGCTGAAAAAGACAGTGAAAGAAGAGGCTTGTCAGGTAAAGCCTTGTGAAGATAGCAAAGTGCTTTAATTTATTAATTGATTTTTTTAAGTGACTGTTAATCACAGACAGACTTCTGTTGTATTTTCAGCCTTGTAACCATTTATCCTGGAGAAATACACTTTATCAGAGCTGCAGCTTTCAAGTGATACTGTAGCAGCCAGGAATACAATGTTATGTTTCTAATCTAGTGGATCTACATAATAGTTTCTTTTGACATTTCTTCTGCAGAAACTTTGGGGTTTTTTTCTCTTAGGAATAGCTTTTTGTGTCATGATGGGAACAATAATTATGCCTTGAGGATAGCTAGAACTATAACTAAAATCTACCATATTGTGTTCTAGTCTCCTCTCTGTAAAACAGCTTTGTTTTTTCATAAGAAAAGCTTGTCATTAGAATCTCACTGTATTTTGTACATTTTTTTGTTTGTTGCTCAGAGCCTTCTTAGTGGCTAAAGCTCCCGTGTTTTGAAAAGATATGTGAAGTGTGCATTTGTCTTGCCCACTCATGGGTCTTCTTCCTCAGTCCACCATCTGTCAGGTTCTGTTACCAACTACAGAGCAAGGACTCTCAAGGTCATTTCCATCCTATTTGTCTTTAGCTAATACTCACTAATCTTCAGATATTTTTAATTTATTAAGTTAAGTGGAACTCAAATACCAACATTCAAACTAGATGATATTTCAACTTGGAGCTCATGGAAAATGGAGAGGTGACAGGAAGTGTTGCAGTATCACTAAGATTTCTGGTAGAAATATGTACTGTATAGTACTATGAATATATATAAGTCCAACAAAGTTTAAGACCAGAGAAATGGAGCTGGAAAGAAGAGTTGAGATTGGAGATAAAGTCTGTTAATTTGAACCAATGTATCCAATAAGACATTTTATAAAGATCTGTTGTCAGCCTTACCTCTTGCGTTACTTTCTTAAAATTCTGGTGTCATCCTGCAAGATTATATTTTATTTATTACTTGTACTATGGCATTTTGGATGAAGGTCTAAATTAAAAGAAATGCTGAAATGCCTCGAAGACATGCTCAATGATTGTTGTTTTTCAAACATTTCTTTGTGCTGTGGATTCCAGCGCATTACATGTTAATCTTGGTGGCTGAATTACGTCTCTATCCAAGGCAAAGGATGAGGTAGCATTCTTCTGAATGGGAATGCTCATTAGAGCTAGTCAGTGAGGAGCACTGGGCTTATTAAAGTTTCTAAACCTCTGCCTTGCTTCAGACCTTGGATAGCTTAGCCAGGCCCATGTGATGGGGAGAGGGGCCTCTTTTCACTCGCTCCAGAGCCCAGAACCAGTGCTAGGTACGAGGAGAAAGGTACAAGCAAAATTATTTTGCCTTTCCTTGCTCAGAAAGTGTGCAAGGAGTGAGATGATTAAAGGGTTATAAGCGAGTTTTTCAAAGGCGAAAATCCTGTCCTAGTGAAGATAACAGAATGTTTTCAAACAGTAATCCTTACTATTAGAAAAACTTCTAGAAAGCTGTAAGAAGTACAAGCTTGCAAGAGGATGGATGAGTTCGGGTCACCAGGTAGGAGAAGAATTGATATAAGGATTAGAGTATCTCTGAAAGCAAGCTAGGTAGCATTCCTGCATCAGTCTTTGAGAGGACATTTGATGGACCATTGGATATCACTTGCCATCAGAAGTTAATGTTAAAAGGAGCTACTACAGCTGTCAGGGTAAAAAGGCAAGTCAAAAGGACAGCTTCGTTTGTTTCTTAAATTAAACTTCAAAAAGGAGAAATTGTTAAAATCTATAGAATTGGTTTATGCCAGAGGTCAGCGATGTAGCAGAATGTCTGTACTGAAGAGGTGATGGAGACTGGGAAAGTAGATCAGGAGTTTTTTTCTGTACCAGACTGTGTGAGCATTTTTAGTGAATAATGTTTGCCACAATGAAATTTGACCATTTTTGAGCATGCTAGTAAATCAATGGCTAAGTAAAAGCCAGTCAGGTTTTTTGTAAGGACTTCTTTTGTAGAAGAACGTGAATAAACAGGCAAATTAGGGGAGGTGATAGAGACATGGGAACTACATAAAGGCACCATTACATAGTTTAAAGATACTTTGATAGGAATACTGTGGTTTTGAAGAGCATTGGTAAAATTGATAAAGTGGTAGTAATGTTGTGATTGTTAATAATTTAGAATGTCTTAGTTGTTTCTAATTTTTCCTCTGAGCAAAAAAATTATTTTAATACTTGAAACTGCATAGCTGGTAGGGTAAAGAGGAGAAAGTAAAAACTTCTTCCCATATGTTTTCTATTTCTTTTCCCTTAAGTCAACATACTTACATGCAAGAAATATTCTTAAGTAATTGTTTAGTAATTCATATGTTTGGCCAACTTTGTTCTATTTTCATTTCAGGCACAGAAAGATCAGAAAAAAGATCGTCCTCTTGTGCGACGCAAGTCAGAACTGCCTCAGGATATCTATACCATGAAAGCCTTGGAATCACATTGCAGAGCTGATGAATTAATATCACATGATGGGCATTAAACTATTACAGTGAAATATTATTTTGGAGGAAAAGTTTTTTTTCTGGACTCAGTTCTACAGTAGAACTTACTTTTTTGTGCCATACCAATCAGTTACACAAAGTCAAAGCTTTCTTCAACCCAGTTCTGTAGGCAATAACTTAATAGAGTATGCAGCTCAAGATTAGTAGTTCAAACAATGGTAAATTACCCAGTTCCATTTGCAGAATATTGGGTTGACTATAATCAAGTGGACACAATTTCCTGGAGGTGTTGTCATAGTACCAACTGGCTGATAACTTGCAGTTTTGTAGTCGTATTTGAGAAAAGCATTCTATAAACTCTTTCCGTCTAAATAAGTGAATGACCAATGGTTGGTACTAATGATAAATGTGTTTTTCAAAAATAAACTTATTTCAAATATAAGTATTAAACTTTTTCTAGGATTTCTCAGCTTTACAGTTGTTTCCACATTATTGCTGTCCTGTAATATACCAGCAGTTTTGAAAATACCTAATTATTCTTTCATATTCTAAAACATGGCTTACAAAGTGGTAACATTCTTGACAATCCTCAGTCATCATTCCTTTCTAAGAATTCTGTAAATTCACTTCTCTTTTACTTAGGATAAAGATATATATATATCTATATATACCACATCCTAATACTTTATGTAGATTTAAAGCCATATCTTCCAGTCTTTAGTGTATAATATGGCACCAGTATTCCAAGTATGAACTGGTAGAAGATTTTTTTCCTAAAATGAAAATTTGTTTACTATGACTGGGAATAGACTGAATATGAAATTTCATTTTAAGTTTTTTCAAGTCAATAAAATAACTCTTTCGCTGTTTTCTCCCTTATCTGAGCTTTTAATACTCAGCATTTTTCTTGGGCTCTAGGAGTTCAATATTCTGTGGCAGATATTATGTGTGATTTCAGTTGCATCAGTTTTTATCTGAAAGGTGAACATAACCTTTCAGGTAACACAAGATCATAAGCTTATTATTTAAAAAAAAAGGAGAACAGACTCTTGAATTCCATTGTACTTCTTTCTAGATGAGTCTAAGAGCTGAGGAGATAGTGACCATAATATTTTACCGTGAAAATATTTTTTGTTGTTGTTGTAAAGAGCACATGTGCTGCAAATACACCTCACAAGTGAACTGAAAATGCATCTGAGTTGCTGATGATCTTCAAATGCTGCTATATATTCCACAAGATTACTTGCATGTAATGAGCTTTTTGTTGTAGATGGAAAAGCACGGGAGGAAAATCTCTTTAAAAATATAGTGCTTTGTCTTCAATATTTGATTTCTCTCAGGGTGGCCAGTATTTTGACTTACTTATCCTGCTTAAAAGCTGTTTGAAATGTGTTCTGCTATTCTGAATGGGTGATTAGTTTCTTTTGTCTCTGGCAGTAACATGATATAACTTAATGTTTAATGTCTTGATGCATAAAGAGATAAAAAACGTGGCTTCTTTAAAAACAGTTTTGTTCTACTTTTTAAGGAAGTATAACATCTCCTGCATCCATAAAAAAGAATTGCGCAAAGCAGACATTCATAGTAACCTTGTGCAGATGTAGTGCCTGCTGTTTGTTGGTTGCATTTAACATTCAATTTCCAATATTTGTTACGTTGTCTATTGGAAGAAAATTGTGAGTGGTAAATATTGGCTTACAACAACTAAATTTCAAGACCAACCCAATCTTTTAAGTGGAATGTCCACTGTGTCTGAAAACATTTCCTGTAAAACTTGAAAAGAATATGCTTTACCATTAGGATAAACTATATGAAAGCAGTTTAAAGATGCCTTCTCCTTTTGAGGGAAAAAGGGTGCTTTTTTAATTGTGTAAAGCAACGTCTACGTATTTTGATATACCATTGTTTGAACTTCCATCTTTAGCTGGTAGATTATCAGTTACCTTTGATTTTGGGTGTCCAGTATGTTTGTGCAAGAGGTCGCTGAAAGGAATTATTCCTATGTTACCCAAGGGGGGGATAAAAAAAAAGCTGTATATCAATGTTTGATTGATTGTGTGATGCTCAACGTATAGGAACATCTTTCACTGTCTAGATTTTATTTTTGTTCTTTATTGAAGATAAACACTCACCAAAAAGGGAAATATTGTGGTATTTTTTAAGGCTTGAAGATCTCTATAAAGACATATTTTGAAGTTTTGGGCCACTGAACATTTGCTTAGGCAATATTCCAAAATCTATCACCACTAATGGTTTAGCATGTTTATTATCAATATTTATATACTTCTTATAATCCTTTACTAAACAATTCTAAAACTAATACATCCAAAATAAAAAGAAAAATTGAAGTAGAATTTTGGTGACTGTTGTTCTTCATAAAGTTCTGTCTGACACCTTCCCCCATTTTCCAAAATTACACCTGTACATCAGGAATGTCAAAAGTAATATTACAAGTGTCTTTTTAGTGTGGCTTTAGTATGGCTTCATTTTAATATTGTACATACATTGTACCTTGTTTTATGGTAATAAGTAATAAAAATGTAGACTTCATATTTTGTACAGAATCGTCCTATGTACAGAATAAAAAGTTCCTAGAAACAGCAAAAATAGGTAAGTGGCACAATTATTTTTCATTAGACAATATCTGTAACATTATGCATTAGTGGAATGTTAAGTTCAAATGTACCTACATATTTTTTAACATTTTGTAATTCAATTTTTTGTTCTGGCATTGTTTCTGAAGAACTTCATACACCTGCCATTTAATATGCTTTTATCCAATTTTAAAACTTAAAAAAAAAAAAAAAGGTGTATTATATGGACAAATAAAGAACATGTGAATTTTACTTGCTCATCATGGAACTAAATTTAACACAAGGCGTTTGGGGGTGGGTTCAGATTATCATTGTTTGCACAATCAGCTGTACAGATGAAAATAATTTCATGAATGTCAAAAAAGCAAAAGAAATATGGAAAGGCCATTACAAAAAAAAAACCAAACAAACAAAAAAAAACAACTCAGGAATAGTGGATATTCAGACTTCACTTGTAGAGCACCAATCAGTACTGAAAGGAATTTGCTAGAACTCCAGTTTACAATTATGGAAAATGCACTGTTCATACCACAGTATTTTCCCCTGCAGCACTTCTATGTTGAAAGGCTTCAAGCAAAGTAGCCCAAAAAACAGGGATTATATTCTGGTAGGTGATGGGTGGTCAGGTGGCAAAGATGTAGGGAAAAACTTAAGTCCGCAGTAGGAGTTGTCTTCCCTCTGCAATCCATAAAAGTCTTCAAAAGAACTGAGAAAGTAACTCTTGTAAAGCTGACATTCAATAAGGGGAGGGTTGGAGGAGAAGTTGGGAGGATGGGTGAACCTGGGGTCAGCAGCTGACTGCTGACTTGAATTATAAATGTAAGATTTGAGTTACAAATTAGATCTTTGCGTACTGAAAGAAACAGCTTTGTGCTTGAGCTCATCACATCATGAACGAAAAACTAGATATTGAAACAACTGAGGATCCAGTCATTCACTTTAGGAAATTAGGGTCAAATATCTCTCAAAATGCAATGTTTTTAAACTACTGACAGTGATGACATTTTTCCCGTATAAATTACCTTACTGAGTTGCAAGCATGTTCAGGAAGTGACCTTTAATCCATTCTCTCTAAGGGAATTAAGCTTGGGGGTTTTGACCAACAGCCTTTTTTGGCATTGCTTTCATGGGTTGGCTTTGTAGAATTGGAAAGGAAGGTGCTGGTGTAGCACACATTGCTTGTGTTTAGAGGTTTGTCAGGTTTGCTTTATGCACCTCCCAAATGTACTTACAGGAGATGGCTGTGATTCCAGTTTATCCCAATGTTCTGGATCCCATTATGGGCCATCCACCTGAAAGTGGAGCATTTCTGGCCCTCTAATCTTGTCCTTGCTGTGTGCAGTGAATGTGGAGACTGACTGTGTATAGCTAATTAAGAAATACCATTCTAATTACCATATCACTGTCTCCCTGGATTAGTTTCTTTTCTATGAGGAGACTTGGCTCGAGCTGTCTTTACCTTATGAAATAAAGCTTTGATGTAGTTAAACATTTTGTATGACGAAATTCCCAAGGGAGGATTTACCATGGAGCTAAAGAAGGTAATGCATTGTCCCTCCCCTTGCAATTGAGGAGCAGCACGACTGTAGCTGGCTTTCCCTGGGCCCAGGCACGAGGGAACTGCACTCACTGCCACACCAGTGAGGGCTGTACACACACAATGTGAGGGTTCATGAGCTGTGGTGGTGAGGGGAGAAGGCTTCCACTGGTTAACTACAAAGGGGAGAAGGGCATTGCCTCACATAATTGCCTCAAGCTATTTTAGGTATTTTTGTGAAAAGTGCACTGACAGGGTTCATGCTTGCATGAAGAGTTTGCCGTAGTAATTTTTCTGTTACCCTTGCTGTAGAATTAAAGATGCAAGAGGATTAGAGATGGGAAAGCAAATGATTTGCTCCAATGTTTACTTGTTTGGGTTTTTTCCTTTGTTTTTGGTCTCAAATGCTACTAAGTTATTATTAAGTATAGGGAAAAAACCTTTTTTTTTCCCCTGAAGTTTTGTTGGTTTTTTTTTATGAAGTGTGAAAAAAGTTTTTCTTTCTACATATGTCATGTGGCATTTGCCAGGAGCAAATCTTGTCTGCCTTGAGAAGTCATAGTTCTCATTCTGATTCTCTGAAATACTTCTCTTTAGTTAAATTATGGGGCTATGTGTCATACTGTCGGTCTTGCCCTTTGGATGACTGATTTCAGTGGCTTCTCATACCTGTGAGAAGGGCCAGGTCCTTTGTGTATCCAAGGAAAGGACATCTGTAATTAACTAGAGGAAGATCAAGGCACCTGATTTTTCACCCTGATTGAGCAAGCTGAAGCCTTTTCTCTCCATAGGCTTTAACTGCACAAGAGAACTTGTGCAAAAATCTAGTTTGTCTTGTCTCTGCTTCAATTTCCCTTTCCTTAGTTGATATCTTCCTCCCATTCCCTTTGGCACAGTAGATAAGGGTGAAGTGATTAAAGGAATACAATACCTACACTAGCTTTTAGTTGCAAGTAGCCTAACATTTAGATATCAGAATTCAAGACTTGTTCTTTATGCCATAAAGTCTTGTCACACGACACATTTCTATTTTTCAAACCTACTATAAGATAGGATTTGTTGGGAGATTTTTTTTTGACCCTACTTTCTCTGCAGTTTGGCAGCAATGTATATAAATATTTACCTGAATTGTGATTTCCTATCCCTATCATACTTTCTTCTCCTTACTTTCTACCTTTCCTTATTTGTATTTTTCCCTGGCAACATCAATGAAATATTGTATCTTCCTTTGTAAGCTACAAAGCTTGTGAGGTTTTGGTGTAGCAGGTGATGATTTCTCTAAAAGGACAAGGATGCCAATACTTGGAACCGTCACTTGAGCTCACCTCCAAGGAGATGCCAAGTTACTCTTCAGATGCATCAAAGTTGCTCAAGAATATTATCAACACCATTTTAATGAACGTCCTGAAGGCCACAATGTTAATTTAGCCTGTGTTTTTGGGTGCTTGGCCTGTGCTGGCACTTACTATGTGGATATAAGAAGCAGCTTATTCTCCCCCATGGGAAAGTAGTCAGGCATGACCAGAGATGGGATAGCTTTGGAATTCAGACAGCCTAGAAAAGTTGGCTCTTTTTTTCATGTGAAAAGCAATCCTAAAACCTAACCTTCATATAGAAGGATGATCAGGTGTGAACAAGCTAGACTTTAGAGAATAGCAATAGACAAGTGTTTTATTAAACACTGTCTCAGTAACTATTCTGTAAATAGAATATTCAGATTAGTACCTACAGCTATTTGTCTTCATCAAAAATAAATTCTACCTTTCTAGTGGAGGGGAAGGTGTTTAAATGGTTTTGATTCATCAAAAACCAATCACCTCTTTTGGTGCTTGTGGTTGAAACTTACTTACTTGCTGAACAGATGCCTTTTTTTTTTTTTTTTTCCCAACCAAGAAGGTTTGGTGTTTCCATTAGTTAAATCAGTGCTTTGTCAAAGTTCAACTGGACTCATAAACCCTGTAGGAGCCTATTTGAGCATGGCATGCTTTTTCCCGTAGTAGAAATGGAGGAGCCAGGGTATGTGGCTGAGCTTTCAGGATTCCTAGTATTGTAGCCGGACCTAGACACTTTTGCTGAGTTACAATTGTGTAGTGGCTTACAAATCAGGACTTTCTTTGCCAGGCATGATATTTCACCCCAGCTTCCTTCTTGTGCAGTACATCTGAACAGATCCTGGGCCTGAGGGTGTCCGCATTTCCCTATTTATCTCTCCAAGGAGATGCATGTAGGGTTCAGAGGCACTTTTTTGTGGATGGTTTTTCTCTTTTGGGGGCAACATTACCTTTTCGACATCCATATGAGCAAAAACTGGAGTTTCAGTCTGTAGGTCACCCACCATCCCTAGTGTACTTTTGGGAAGTCAGTGGAATTGCTTCAGAACTTCATGGCCCCCTCTCCCAGTTTGCATTCAAATGCCAGCCAGGACTGGGGGAGAAGGGGACTGGTTGAAGCGCAGAGAAACGGGATCGTCCCTCTCGGTGGCAGTGAGCTAAACTAATCTAATACGTCAATCAGTCAAAGACACTGGGATGTGTCAGCTGTATAAGACCTTTAAGAATTTTTTAAAATTATACTCTTTAATTTTTAATTAAAATCCCCTTTCTCAGTGATGTGCTTTTGGTCCCTGTGTGTCCTTTGCGTTTGTGAAACAGTCTCCCAAAAGACTGGGATTAATCGTTTGGGTTCTGGATTCATTAAAGGGTAATTGCAGGGCTGGCTGGGCTGGGTTATATAAAGCCGACCCCCCCCCTCACCCACCACCACCTGCCGTGGTACAAGAGGGGGGCGGCTCTTCACTAAAGAAGCCTTACAGTTGGCCTGCTGCTTTCTTCATGGGAAAATGTCACTTGTGCCATCTGTCCTTAAGGCTTCTGGGTTAATTTTCACGTGAAATAAACATTTTTCATTTGGCCAAATGAGCCCCGGGACTGCTTTGCCTTCCAGGTCCTGGGGCGGCGGCAGCAGAACATGCCTCGCCCGGGCGGTGCTGCCAGGGCACTAAGGCCTGGATGTGTGTGGGGGAAGAATTTTCCCCTTCCCGCTCAGATCCCGCACGCTCCTTCCAGAATAAATCACTCAGATAAAACCCTTGAAGAAGGGTTTCCCGAAGGGAACCCTCCAGTACCTGAAGGGAGCCTACAAGAAAGGTGGAGAGGGACTTTTCACAAGCACATGTAATGACAGGACAAGGGGGGGATGCTCAAACCAAAAGAGAGTAGGTTTTGATGACATATCAGGAGGAAGCTTTTTGCTATGAGGGTGGTGAAGCACTGGAACAGGTTGCCCAGAGAAGCTGCGGATGCCCCAGCCCTAGCAGTGTTCAAGGCCAGGTCGGGCTTGGAGCAACCTGGTCTAGCAGAAGGTGTCCCTGCCCACGGCAGGGGGGATGGAACTGGACGATCTTTAAAATTCCTTCCACTCCAAACCATTCTGTCATTCTATAAATAGAATAGGGAGGCCGCGGGAAGGCGGGAGGAGCTGGCGGAAAGCAGCGGGGAGGCGGGGGAGCCGCTCGGAGCCTGAGGGAGGGAGGCGGGCGGGGCGGGGCGGGCCGCCCGTCCCAGGCTCCCCCGCGGCGCGGCCGGGCGGGGCTCGCAGCGGCGGGCGGGCTCAGCCGGGGCGCGGCGGGGCGGGCGGAGCGCGGCGCCGGCCCGTATCCTCTGCTTCGGCATGTCCGACTCTGGCGGCGGCGGGGGCGGCGGCCCCGGCGGCGAGGAAGGCGGCATGGAGGTGTCGGGCTCGGCGGTGCAGAACGTGGCCGACGTGTCGGTGCTGCAGAAGCACCTGCGCAAGCTGGTGCCGCTGCTGCTGGAGGATGGCGGCGAGGCGCCGGCGGCGCTGGAGGCGGCGCTGGAGGAGAAGGGCGCCCTGGAGCATATGCGCAAGTTCCTCTCCGACCCGCAGGTCCACACGGTGCTGGTGGAGCGCTCCACGCTCAAAGGTGAGGCGGCAGCGCGGTCGCCGCCGTGGCAAAATGGCCGCGGCCGCCCGGAGCCGCCGCCCTGCCGCGGGTGGGAGGGGCGCGCCCGCCGCTTCGGTGCCGCTCCGCCTCAGCGCGGCCCGGCCGGGCACCGCGGGACAGGGAAAGGGAAAAGGCGGGCACGGCGCGGGATCGGGGTCGGGATTGGGAGAGGGTGGGCACGGCGCGGGATCGGGGTCCGGAGAGGGCGGCGGCAGCAGAGCCCAAGCGGCGGGCGGGTCCCCGCTGCCACCGCCGCCGCCCAGCCCGGCCTCCCCTGCCGCCTTTGTTCCCGGGGCCCGGCGGGTGCTCGACGGGGCTGTGGGCGCAGATCCCGGCGTGCTGCGGCTGCGGCCGCCCCTGCTTGGAGAGGCACCGAAAATGCTTTGTCAGTCAGCTGTGGGTGCTGTAAGCTGCCGTGGAAGCGGCCTCCATCTGGGCGAGGCAGGTAGCCGCGCTGAGACGAGCAAAAGCGCCAAAACCTCGGATAAAAGGAAGATAAATACCCCAAAGCTGAATAGGCTTGTAAAAAGCGTGGTGTCGTGGTTAACTAGCGAGACCCCGGAAACTGACGAACGAAGATGTGGACCTTGCAGTGCCTTTGTTTAGTCACCACAGCCTGGTAGCCGTGCTGCTTGTGCTCAGAACCGCATCAAGTGCTGCATTAAATTCTGCAGCTAAACTGAGGCTCTGACTCGAGTATCTTTGTTATTTACATGCTGCTGTTACCGTTTATTTAGGAAACCACTTTATTGTCAACAAATCTGTTGCTAAATAGGCTCTTACTGTCACAGAACTCAACCTAATGAACAATGACAGAACACACTAGGCTTCGTCAATAATGCAGACTCTTACTATTAAACATGCCCCTGCAGCCTGTAAATGTATACCTGCCTGCCAGCGTGAGCTTGCAAAATTTTAATATTAGGCTTCTGGATCTCTATCCTAGTGTGCTGGTGGTTCCATTCTTGCAGATATATATCAAATCTTAATA